TTTTGGGGCAAAAGAGCATTCGTTAGAAAACTTGAAGGTGGGTTTTTCAATTCCTTCCAATTTTTTTTTCCAGAAAAGAAAAGATTTCCGTCCCCAAAATCCCTAATTTTGGTTTATCTCGGGGGAATAGCCCTCCAAACGGGGCAGGGGGGGTTCCCGTAGTTTTTCGGAAAAGCCCTAAGGCAAGTTTTATGCCGGTTCTTGGAAAAAATTTTGTATTCAGTTTATCCCTCCCCTTGACCTGGGTTTGCCAAATTTTTTGCCCATTTCTTTTTTCTTTAAAGGTTTGGGGAGGCGGAGTTGATTCGAAAAAAATAGGCATGGGGGACTTACACCTTTCCTACCATAGTTCTTTTTTAAGTACTCTAAAAGTACCATTCCTGTTGGACCAGATCTTTTAGTCTTCAGAAAGAGTTTTCTAATCTTTTTCTCAATATCTTTAGAAACATTTTTTTTGATAAGAGAAACAAGATTAGTGTCTAAGATTATTTTCATAGACTTGATTTGAATATCAGGTAATCCATATTCAATTCTAACGGATTGAATATCTCCAGTTTCAACATATTCTGACCAAATGTGACTGGCTTCACCAACTACTTGCATAAAGTAATGATACCACATATCATAGTTTTGGACACCAAGTAGTTCAATGGGAATAAGGTCGGTTGCATTGGCAGGGCTCATAACCTGTTTGCGCAGGTTCGAAACCAGGACGGCACCTATTTCTTGAGATTGGAATAGGTGAGTGTTATTGGACTGTTGATCAGGGTGGGACATGGTTGTACTGGAGTGATAGTGGATATATTAACTGAGATCTAAGGTATAAGTACAATTATACGTTAGTTGTTTATTCAAGCTCTTGGTTTTTTATAAATTCTAAATATAGTATACAAAATATAAAATATAATTTAGTTCATAAAGTGAACATTAGAAAAGAGAAAATATTTTCTAGAAACTTGAAATCTGGTCTGCTTATATACCTTTTGAAAACTAACAGTTACCCTGAATGTGTTCCTGTCAGCAAAGTATATCTTTCAGACATAGGGTTAGATCTGGATAACTTAAGATTGTCATCTACTGATTCCCAGAATCCAACAGGAAGGGATTACGTAACACGGAACCACACACTGAATATATCATTTAGAAATAAACGCACAAACGTATATTCTTAGATACACTTGCAGAAAATCAATTTATAATATGGTAGCGTAACAATATTATATTTATTCAATAATCTGATCACTTTGTACGACCTTACCTCAGCAGTTAAGGCCCCATTAATTAGCACTTAAACTAACTCCAATTGTCGAAGCTAATATCTGATATTATTAATTCAATGCTTGTGATTTCATATCTGGTCTTAGATTTTCACCATCTCAACTGGTTCATCTTTTATAATACTGTCACTAATGATTATTGTGTCTAACCATCTGTTTAATGAATTAGACCAACTTTTATTGTTAAGAATATATTTTATTCAATAATCTTAATCTCCATGTTCACTTTACCTTTGTGGTCAAATTTCATTACCTCTACTTAACTTCAACCATCACTTTTATTACCATCACTTTAACTACCACTATCTTAAACATTATCCTTTTTAACCATCTTATTATATACACCGTCGCGCACTAAATACCTTTTCTGAAAAAACAGACCGACCCGGAAAAACCTGTTTCATGTCACGTTTTCTAACAACAACACCGACCCGCGAAAATCTGTTTCATATCACGTTTCTAAAAACAATAACAAATCTCATCATGTCGCCCAACCAAATCAATCTAAAAAATAATACAAACCGAAGAAATACTATCAAAACTCCCAACCAAATTCCCCATTCAGCTTAAAGCAAATAAAATCTTCCCAAATAGCAATTCTGCCAAAAATAAATCCGCTTACCTTGGAATAAGAAATAAAAGAAAAGAACCTAATGCCACTTAACCAATTAAAATCAATCGGGAATCAACGGTGAATTTTAATTCAATCATCCTTTACCCAGAACTTAATTAACTTCGAAAATCCAAACCCAAGTGCTTAAAACCGGCCCAAAAAAAACCCCCGGGTTTTTTGCAG